AATTAATATTAAATTACTATTAACCCTCTTTTATTAGTGAGGAAACACAAATAACTTGATGCTGAGAAGCTAGCAATAAAAGATAAGGTTGACAACTCTCAAAGTCTAGTTGCTGGCCTGAAGCCTTTTTTCATTTCTTGCATCTGTTTCTTAAAAAAAACTAAACAAAACAAACCCAAAGGCAGATTGTTTCCTGGAAAATGTGTGTTACAAGAACAATCTCTTGTCTCTATACACGTATTCTACTTTTGTGGTCTCTTTGGCCTATTGTGTCGTATTTGTTTCAGTGTTTCTTTTTGAATTCCCTAGGTTATATCCCAAAGGTATGGATAAGTACCACAATGGATCTTCATATAGACAGGTAGGTAGTACATTGTGCTGAAAACTTGGAGGACAACATTGCTGACAGCTCCCTTTGCTAAAGAAAAAAGCTTAACAACTGGGTCTTCGTGTGTGGTAGGACTCGGTTCCTTGCCTCCCCGCACAGATCACGGGGAGCAGAAACGGATGGGTTTCTGAAACGGATCCAAAAGGAACCAACACCCCCTTGTAGGAATCATCTTGTAGATAGTCGTTAAGAAATCTTTTCTGTTTCCTTCATGTCTGTAAGTCTCTAAGGTATTAGAAAAGCTAATCTCTCCAAATTGCATACGTGTGTTTTCTCTGCTTTTCTGTGGTTTTGGGGGGCATATCTTGGTTTTTATATGGATGCCATTTGTTTTAAAATAGGGAAGCTGGAGTCATAATACCTTAATTGACTATAACTGTAATAATTGTTATTTATTTCATATTTCTTTTCCTTAATTTAGTTAACTTTTCTGAACTTCATTTCGTCACAGTTACTGAAGAATTAAAGAACTGGTATCTCAAATATCTTTTGGAAACTTTCTGCAAAAAAAAAAAACCCAAACAACTTTATTCTTGCAATTGTTGCTACTGTAAGAGCTTATTATAGACATTTTCCATAATAAAAATACTTTTATCATCTTGATTGTTTTATCTGCAGAAAATTGCATCCTCTTGACACTTTGACTGGCTTATTGGATATCTCCTTGTTTTACCATGCCTGGTTATGTGGCGTATTTCTCCTGATCACCTGGTACATTGCATGGTTACTCTTCAAAATCTATGCTACAGAGGTTAGTACTTAGTGATGATGCTAAAGGTGTAACGTCAGTGTTTCACAGATGATACTTTATTTTCAAAAACAGTTTTACTTGGAAATAACTTATTATGAATTCTTGAATTGTCAAAGCACGTACCACAGATAATATCTGATAACTTCTGTTTCCATGTCCTCCTCCTGCTCACATTTGATGCTGAATCTGTGCAGGCGCTGTTGGGGCCACCCTGACAAAGAACCACTTTGTGCTTCATGGCGTCTGTACTGTGTTCTTTCTCCTCTTCAGGGGTAAAGACAGATGAGCCAGTGCAGGGCCCATATGTGTCTGGCAGAGCATTCTAGCTGGGTCTCTGCATTTGTTTCCATGCAGTGATTTTGCATCTGAGAGTGAGACTAGCTGAAGAGTTGTGACAAACAGCTGCTGGTTATGTGGGAAGATAAAACCCAGAAACTGTATAGCTCTCAATCCAGTTTTACAACATCAAGGAGAACAAACTGCTGTCGATTTTCTGAGCTAAGCTCCAGAAACTTGAAATTTAAGCAAACCATCAAAGTACGCAGTTCTCTAAAGCTGAGATGTGTTAATCTAATTCAGGCTGCAGTATTAAAATAGACTTCAAGTAGTCTTGGGAATTAAGACACTTTTGCTTTTTCATTCAATCATAAAGTTACAAATTAATATGGCTAAACCAAGGCTATTTAAATATATAATGAATCGTATTATAATAATCCTGAGACCATGATTGAAGAGAAAAAAAAAAAAAAAGCCTTGCTAACAAAGAATTGGAGAAGACTTGATCTTTGTTGACTAATCCAGATATGTCTTTGTAAGAATACAGAGGAAAAAAATAGTTCATCCAACTGGATATATTTTTTAAAAAAACATAACTAGACTGTGGATTAGTAGGAGGAAAAGTGAGGTTTAAATTCTGGCAAAATACTTATGGGATGAAATGGCATACAGGGCTTGTTGGAGTGTTAGCTTTGATTAAAAAGGTCTAGTTGTTGTGACTGCATGGAGAAAAGATTAACGATGAGTCAAGCATAACTGACGTAATGATGCATCAGAATCTGTAGATGGCTCCAACAACAGCTCTGAGGTGTGAACAACCTTTTTCAAAGGGTAATAGTTGAAGCACTAGTGAACACTGTGTCAGTGTCTGTAATTACTGTATTGCTTATAAAACTGTGGAAGACAAAAGAAACGTCCATCTGTGAACGTATAAAATGGACCTTGCCCTTTTGGCTGTTGAACAAAAGATTTGTTTATCCACTTTTTTTTTTGTTTATAAGCTAAAATACTTCAAAGATGTTTGTAAGTATTTGCATAGTGTTAACTGAAAAGTCAGGAAATAAATTGTAAACTTAATCCACATGAAGTCACTTTATTAACACTTTGAAAGCAATTGCCACCTCAAATTTCAATTTTGCAGTTTTAAGCAGAGAAGAATAAAGCTATGATATGGAAAATGTGTGCAGTAACACAAAACTGACAGGTAGTCTGTGCCCAAACTGGTGCATGTTAATAGCGTTAAAGAGATGCAACATTTGGTACAATTTAAGCACTGCTATTTACACTTTAAATGTAGCTACAAGAGCAGAAATTCTATTAAAACACAGAATATGAATATTGTGATGATAAAAATAAGAATTAATTAGTTTATCATTGGAACACTACAAAAGAAGGATTTTATAAATCTTTTATTATTCGGTAAAAGAGCCCTCAGTTCTTCACAAGTGGTTAAAGATAGACATTACAGTTTACATTTCAGTCTTGTTCCTGAATGGTGTTGCTAGTTTTGCCCCTGGGTATGTGGTTAGAAGAATTTTTCTTCATAAAGTTATCATGCCTGTGGCTACAAATTATCTGGGTACATGGAAGACATTTGAAGATAAAGATATCTGGATTTTCTAAGATTTCTCAATTTTAAATGCAAGAAGTAAATACTTTTTTGTTTCTATGTTAGAAGTTTCAAGCTAGTTTACAGTAAGCTGAAGCAATGGGGTATGTGCTTTTGTAGTTCATAATTCATCTCATGAACAACAGCTTGGGTGTGGTCTTTCATAACGTTTTCTTGTATTTCGCTCCGTATAACACAACTTCTGCTGTTCATATTTAGACACATCATTTTCCTATCCAGCCGACTTTTGCTGAGGAGACAGACCAGTGCCTGCCTAAAATCTTAAACAGCAACCCTCCGCTCATTATAAAGGTAATTGAATTCCCACCATCTTCCCAGCTAGGTGTGTGCTGAGAAGGTGTTTCTCAAAGTGTGTAATCACATCTTCTAGGTACCAGTTATTTTAGCTGAGGTGCTAGTTCTTTAAAAAGCTGTCTGGGAGCACAAGGAGGGAGTTACACCTCATGGTGAAAATTTGTTGAGCAGTGACATCTGCTGGTGCTCACCAGGCTGTGTTACTTAGAGGTGAACACAGACTCATTTAGTTAGAGGCAAGAAGATCTGTTTGTCTGGAGCATATTAGTATGATGCAAAAACAAAAGCCTAGTGACATCTAGGTTTTTTTTAACTCTTTCAACTTTGAGTCTTGTCACATAAGCAGATGCTTGTCAAACCTTTGTACACTCTCAATGCTTTGCCTCTGCTACTTATATTTGAGTTCTTATGTGTGTGTTCTCTCTTGAAATGAAAAAATTATTTCCATATTTATGTTGGAAGCTGTGTTTCTTTTTTTAAAAAGGTGATACTAAAAAGCTACTTGAAATCTGTGAGGAAAGAAGAATAATTTTGTTCTGTGGGATTTACAGACGATAATACTTAGAAACTGGAGACCTCATATAAGAAGTATTATGTAAATAAAGAATATTCTCCTGCATGTGCAAAATCCACATTTACTGATTTTACAGATCTCTGATAAGACTGGAGATATAATGCATTTGAATCCTTTTTAAAGCATTGCTGCATTATCAAAAGATGGGTGGAAAAGAGTTGAGCACAGATAAAGGGAGAGGAAGTCTAATTTATAATTTCAGCTATTACTAAAGTGTCTGATTTATAATTGGATCTTGCATAGCGTGAGAAATCTGGTTCTTTTTGGTTTGCCACATTAACTGCTTTATCACATGAAAAAGCAGTATTGGGTCCAGCGCCATATGACACACTGTGTAGTTGAGCTCTGGATTGCAAAACCAGTTTTTTCCTTAGAGTTTTTTGCATCTTAGGTTCATTCTGTCTGAGCTGTTAGCTGTTAAGATAAAAAATAATGTTAGATCTTCTTTAACTCCAAATAAATGACATACCAGTAAAGTTCTCTGAAGCTCTTACTGCCTGAACAGTCCCATCCATAGTGGTTCTAGGGACTTGTGCAGTTGTTTGCCTCCTTTCTTTTTCTGTTATGAGGCTGGTTTTAGTCTGTGTGAACTCATGCTTTGTTAGGAATTGCTTTTGTATGGATAACTACCTTTTTTTTAAGGAAATACATTGACTTTGCCCTAAAATATTTTCATTTCTTTGTAGTTTTTAGCCTTACAAGACTTGATGTTACTTTCCCAGTATTCTCCTGTTCGACGACAGGAAGTCTTTAGCCTTAGTCAGCCAGGTAATTATAAAAACTATTTCATATTGATTCTTTTTCTGTTTTTTAAAGTGTTAGTCAAATGCTTTTAGAAGTTATTTTATCCTGTGAGGCATGCTACGTAAGCCAGGAGGCCTTATCCTTTTCCAAAAGGATGCTTAAATGTCTGTGTTCATGTTGTTTCATCTACTAAACTCAACAAATTCTGGTCCTGTAGTTTGGTTTAAATGACAGCCATGAGGAAACACAGGTCTTAGGATATTGAAAGCAGGGTCCTCTTGACACCACCAGTCAAATAGTCCAAACTGAATAATGTAACAGATGCGTACGAAAGCCTAATGTTCAGATGTGAATGAGGTGAAATCAGGCATAAATAGTGAGTCATCACTAGAGTTGTGAAAGCAAACAATGGCTATAATTTCAATCGGTGTTCAAGTCTCTTGCTATGTACAAAGATATGGCAGAGAAGGTCAATTAAAACTGCTTAAAAGCCTTCAGGAACTTTTTGTTACACCTCATCAGGACTTCTAGTGTTTGTACTACTTTGAAACTGTTTGCCATCACCATTGATATGACTTTGTTCATTTTTATTGTTTAGTGATTTCTCATGGGCCAAACTGCCTATGTTTCCTGCTTGTTTAATCGTTTCACTAAAGTCTTTTAGAGTTATCCCTTGACAAGAGGATAGAATCTGTTCATGTTTTAATCTTCCTCTCATTACAAAGAAACCATCACAGTGAAAATGCACTGTGTTCTTTTAGAAATGGAGTGGTGCTATAATCTCTGAAGTTTGTGCTGGGAGCACATGGGCACTGTCAGAATAGATGCAAGGATGAGCATCTGGGTTAAACATACCTGCTGCATTTCGTTTTTATGTGCATACTGCTAGGTGGGCACCCGCACAACTGGACTGCAGTATCAAGGGAGTGTTTGAGTCTTCTCAGTGATCTGACCCAGAGGCTGATCACACAGCAGGAAGCTGCAGCAGCAAATGGGAGAGCAAAGCAGCCAGCAGGAGAGCTGAAAGGATCTCCACAGGCTCCAGGTATGTGAGGAAACACTCATAATGGTTTGTAAAGCATGAAAGTACCAATAGATTTCATAGGTACATCAGTCTCAATTAAGTTGTCACAGGGTTTTCTGCAAAGAAATTGAAACAAAGTGAGTCTCTCCCCAGTTTCATTTTAAGTATTCTTGTTGAAATAATCCAAAAATAACTAGAAAACTTGGAGATCGTGTTTACTCAGTTTTTTTACTTTGCTTGATGTTATGTTCAATACAGTACTTTTTCCACGCTTGCATGAATTTGGAAAGTCTAATACTTGCAGTTTTAGTAAGTGGTTGAACTTGAGCCTTGCCAAGAGATGCTTTGCAATTTACATAGCTGCTCTTATGATTGGTTTAAGATGGTAAAATTAGGTTTTGTTTTGTTGTTGTGGGGACTTCAAATATGTTTGTGTGGTTCACTAAAATCACTGTAGAATTAGAAAAGCCAGTCTGACTCTTGAGCTGCGTGCAGTCTGCAAGCATTTTGGGTGTTTTATGTGCCAGACTTAGGCATCACTCCTGGCAGCAGAGCTGTGTTAGCACAAGAGGTGCCGGGTAATTGAATCCCTTACAGTCAGTGCTTAGGATACAAGTGCCCTGGGAACAGCGGGAACTGTTGGTATGTCAGAGGTGAATTTCTTCTAGTGCTGCTGTTCCTTGGATTTTGTGACTGACCTATCTTTTCTTACATACCCAGCAGAATCAGAAAGAATTGCTGTTCTTCTATTGCCTTTTTTCTAGTACTTAATCCTAAAAGCACACTTCATGTGATATATACCAGGGCATAGTAATGCTAGCTAGCAAAAGGAGAAAAAATAAATCCACTGCGATCCTTCTCATCACTTGCTGTTCTTAAACTGACAAACTTTTAAAACACTTCATGCTGATGTGGATGTGTACTTCTTTGCAAAACCACAGTGGAAACAATGGCCTTTAATAAAAATTCTCATGCTAGAGAGGTCGTTGAAATAGCAATCAAGTAACAAACCCAGCTTTTGCTTCATGTGTGCCAGCCTGTTTGTCTTCATGCAGTGTGTTCTTTGTTATTAGGAGCTGTTGTGCAGGAAGACATGTCTTTCCAGTCACCGAGGTCTAATATTCCCAGAGCCTCCATGTCTTCACTGGTTAAATCATCCCTAATGCCTTTAAAGACATCGCCTGGGTCTGATGTTGGTTCGCCTTTCAGCTCACCTGCTTTAAATTGCAAGATGGGAATTCTGGATGTCAGCTCTCCTTGGCATGGATCAGTCCAAAGTCCTCGTGTTATGAGAAGGGGACCAAAGCTGTGGACGTCAGGTTCAGGTAGAGATTTTTCCACAGCACTGTTTTTAGCCTTGTGGTCATAAGTGTAGTAGGCGTGTCAACAGAGATCTGTATCTTGAGGATTAAAGTGAGAGCAACCAGTTCTTCTGAAGATATTGTATTTCTCTTGTAGATCTGCAAATGAATGGTTCCCACCACGAATCCTTCCCAGTGCTCTCTGCTGCAAGAGTTGGCAGTGAGGCAGTACAGCCGAGCTTTATTTACACATGGCTTCAGAACAAGCAAGAACAGGTAGAGTAAAAGTTGTGGTACAGATTCTTCTGAAAGAACTTTCCATTTTTGTTGATGAATACTTCCTTCTCCAGTTAGCTTACGTAACAAGAATCCTTCCCTCACCCGCTGATCCTTTTATACTGTGAGGAGGTGGTGGGGTTGAGGAGGGCCAACTGTGCATACCTTGAAATAAAGCTGCATTATATTTTTAATCTTTTGCTTCTTTTCAGATAAAAAACTTTTTGTCAAAACGAGTGCTGATAATGTATTTCTTCAGCAAGGTAATCATGATCTTATGTTTGTGACAGGGACTAGAAATTCATGAGTGTATGGGTTCTGCTGTGGTGCTGCGTACCTTTTGCATATAGTAATGGTTCTAAAACCTTTCTTTTAATCTAAAGTTTTTTGTACTTACTGTGAGTTTCACAGCAGGATTATCCCATAGCTGCATAAAAAAGAATAATATTACTTGTTTAAACTCATCTGGTTGTAAACTACATTTTGCTTAAAGCATCATGTACTAGTAAACACATCCAGGAACTTAAATGCAATTGTCTTGGTATACTAACTGTAAGATGACGTGGCTTCTAGTTAATTTGAAAAGTCAGTTAACTGCCTTTTGTTAGGTCAATGTACTAAATGAATTATTCGTAGTTTTCCTTTGTGGGAGAAGTAGCTAGAGTGGTGGGAATTTCTCCTTATGAAGTACTGGTACTAATATTACTACTATTTTTCAGGTGAACTTGAACACTTAAACTTACGTAGTGTTTACACAGAAAAATGATTGGGTATTTCTCTTAGCATAATTGAACAATAACTCAGTTATGTTTTACAGAACCATCCCCCTCTAATTTAGGTTTTTGTTTTTCAGGGATTTAAATGTTTCTTGCAAGTAGAAATCATATTTCTATTTGCAGATTGTTTGTGTTTGTGGTAATGGTTTATGCTTACATATACAGCAGCGTTTTCTGATCATTACAGACTAGTGCAGAGACTGAGGCAAGCAAGATTATGAAATAGGCATGGGAGAATTGTACTGCCTATTTAGCCCTTGAAAACTATTAGCTAATTTTTTTTTAAAGTCCCAATCATAGCTATGGCTTTGTGGGCAGCTCCTGTCCAAGAAGAATTTTAGTTTCTTAAGATCAGATTTTTCTGGGTGTTCCTTGAGATCTGTCAGCCTTGCTCTTTTCTAAGAGGAGGGACATGACCCCATTAAATGTGTAATACCTTAATTGAAACCTGCAATTTTGGTGATATAATTTATAAAGTGCAGTCAAAATGCTTTGATTTCTTCTCAGCATCCAGAAGCCTCCATCCAAGCTGTCTTCTCTGATGCCCAAATGCACATGTGGGCTTTGGAAGGTAAGCAGTTTCTATTCCCAGGAAATCCACTCTGTTGGCTCATGGAACTACAAATAAAAGGATCGAATTCCAAGTTTCTGGGGCCCTGTGTTTTATAAATGTAACAGAAGAAAAATATTTGAATCTATTCCGACAAAAATCCGACTGCATTTCAGATACCAACATGAACAAAGGTTTAATTCATTTGTTAAGTTTTGAGATCCCATGCGGGATCTCTTAGTTTATGTTCTGTAGAGGTTTGGTAGAGATTCCTAAAGTTGATTGCTGTTGCTTCTCTTCCACATGAAACCATGTATCACTTTTACTTTTTCAGTAACAGATTTATGATGTCTTTTTACAACAGGTTTTCTGACTAAGTGCTCTGTGTTAATCTCTGTTAATCACAGAGAGTTGAAGGAGGGAGGTGCTCGGGTAGTAACAAAAAATAGTGGAATTTTCAGGCAAAACCATGGTCATTGTTAATGCTTCAGAAGTTGAGAATTCAGTAATTATAGCAAACTTCTTTTTTTTGAAGGTCTGTCTCATTTGGTAGCAGCCTCCTTTACTGAAGACCAATTTGGAGTTGTCCAAACCACACTACCAGCTATCCTGAATACTTTACTGACTCTTCAGGAGGTAAAAACTTTTCCTTACTGCAGAAGAAGTTTAGGAGAAGAGAAGGAGTTTTACTAATTTTATATTTTGACCTTGCTGACATGTCATAACATTCAAGTTGTTACCACTGTAAATGGCTTCTCTTCTGCAGTTAATCTAAGCAAAACAGCTACTTCCCACTCTGTGCGTTACGAAGCAGCTGAAAAAAACCTTGTTAGTTTTTTAAAATGTAGAAGTAGAAAGTGTGTTTTTAATGGAATTTTTAATGAAGAAAAAAGGTAGTGTGTGCTCAGTTAAAGACCTTATTTCAGAGATGCAGCGATTATAGTACTATATTATATGCATAGTTAGGACTTCGTCTTTGGGTGTACACAATTCCTTGTGCAGCTTCGAGCACTTGAAAATATTGCAGATCACAGGAGATGTATGGTGTTTCTCTACTAATACTAAGACATTACTCTCAAACTACTGATGTTTGTGTAATGTGTATTTAAAAAGAAACAAATCCAGATTTGTTTCCAAGGCTATGTGTGCCCTGTTGACATAATAATTTTACACTGCCTTAATGGAGATTGTTGGAAAGAATTTTGAGGTTATTGAAGTTTTTCAGTGTAAGTCGTCTATTCCAAGAACAAGTGCCACAGGGGAAAGAAAAAGCCAATACCCTTGTTTCTGAAAGAAACAAGTCATAATACGGGGCAGAATTGTATTTCTGCTGCAGCGTGTGCTGTGCTTGCATTTAAGACTCATTAACAGAGAATCTTATTTCACAGAACTTGGTTCTGTGTTCACGTTGATGGTCAGGAAATGCAATGTCAGGCTCAGTCTCCAATACATTTTTTGTGTGTCTTGGTGGAATTTCTGAACTTGGACTTTCTTTTTGTTTTATTTGACATAAACATGTTGCTAGTTACATTATTAAATAATTGAACAGATTAAACAAGTTCACTTATGGTTTTCTCAATCAGGTTGTAGACAGACATTTCAAACTGCCTCATGTTTCTAGCAAGCCCCCCAGGATTTCAGGAAGTCTGGTGGACACGTCCTACAAAACGCTACGATTTGCACTTAGGGCATCTCTGAAAACAGCACTATACCGGATAACTACTGTCTTTGGAGAGCACTTAAAGTAAGAACTTTTTCATGATTACTTGCTTGCTAAATTTAGTTTTAATTAATGTTATTGTAGGACCAGTGAAAAGAGAAGTTTGTGCAAAAATCCCTTCGGGTCATTATTCTAGCATGGTATTTTAGTACTTTTTGTTTGCGGAACCTTGAAAAAGTCTTGTGTAGATATTTGGGCCCCATTAGAAACTTATTCATAGATTTCTGGCCTATGAATTTTCTTTATGACTTTTCATGAACTCTTCAGAAGCAGTCCATGAATACCACTTGTTTAATAAATCTTAGCTATTGAAAAGAAAGTAAATCAACTAGAGACAATTGTCTGGTCTGTAGGGAGAGAATCCTGAGAATCCTATGAAGAGTCCTAATCACCAAATTCCATTGCTGCTTGGTTTTTTGATGGCTCTTTCTCAGCTACTGTCACAGCAGGCAGACTTTCATACTTGGCCTCTGAATATGTGGGACTGAAACTTCCTGCAGTATCTGCGCATCACTCTCTGTGGGGATGAAATGTTCCTCAGTTTGGAAGTGCTAGATATACAGGAGAGATCATTTTAAGAGATTCTTTCTTACATAAATTGTTCTTGCAAGTTAAACAATTGCTTGTGTGTGTTTAAGGAAATAGGATAGGTTTCTAGGGGCTAGTGTCTTAGTAGTGGAAGGTGTTGGAGGTAGAAACTGACGATTTAAGGGTTGATGTGCTTTTTTATCTTGGAATGTAGGTTTTTCATACAGCTGGGTTTTGTAAAATTTAGCTTCAGCATAGTTGTTTATTTCAGTGTATATCCAATTGACATGAGGCTTTATTTTTGTGGTGTATTGCATTTACTGTAAAATCTTACGTTCTGTGTTTGTTGTTTTTAGTGCAGTGCAAGTGTCTACAGAACATAAGAAAAGACTTCAGCAATTCTTGGAATACAAAGAATAAATGACATTTTGATGCAGCTACGTTTTTTTTTTCAACACTCTTGGTGAGAAGAAAGTGGGACTAATGAGCCTTTTTATCTTGGCTCTTTGGAAAAGCATATGGGAGTACAAGTCGCAGAACGAAACTCTTAAAACTTTAGAAGAGCTCTTCCTGGTTTGGATAATTTTTTGTATAATAAAACTTTTTTAAAAATTCCTCTTGCCTTCTTTTAATATCACTTACAAATGAGAAAGTGTCTGTCCTTATTTTATGTAGGACTATGACATTTGAGATGATCAGAGTTACCTTGCCACTCAGATCCTTCCCTGTTTTTCATCATGTATTCTTTTCCTACCCTTTCCTCTTAAAGGGCTGAGTAGAGATTTACATAGATACTTAGTACTCCTAAGTGTTTCATAAATTTTGTTGATAACACTTTTAGTGCAGATGAAGTGTGTACTTTAAGAGTAGGAAACAGATGTGCCCAGGAATAAAACATCTTACTCTTCAGTGAGATGGACATATTCCTTCAGAGTAAAATGGGTGTGCAGAAAGGCATTGCTAAGGTACAAATACTGCTTGAAAAGCTAGCAGCTTGGGTTTTATCTTTAAGGTGACCCAGGAAGCTGAGTTCTTATCTACACTGAAACATACAAGAAACATTACTGTATTGAGTAAAACTCCCAAGTAATGATATTGTGAATTAAAGTTTAGATCAACAGGTTTCTGTTAAGGTGGATAGGAAGGATGTTTGCAGCATATCCAACTTTTTCAAAATGGCATACATTATATTTTTCACCAGAAGCTACTAATAAGTTTTTAAAGAATTTTAAACTCTGTCTGGAAGTAAACCTGACCAATTTGCTTGAAAATTAACTACTCAATTTTTAAACTGACTCCAGTTACTGTGATATATACTCTAGAAAACATGTTATGAAGAGCTTAGATGTTGCTGCAGTACCTTACTGGAATTTCTGGAGATAAAAATAAGCAAAATGGTCTTGCAAATAAATTTAGTGTGATAAGGGGAAACAAAATTAGGATAATTTTCCTTCATTTCCTGTTCAGTGCTGTTAGTCCCATGTTGTGGGGTTTTGTGGTTTGTTTGTTTGGGTTTTTTTTGTTGTTGTTTGGGCTTTTTTCTTTTGACAGAGGACTTAAGATCTGAATATGGCCACAGTGTCAGTTGCATTGGTGTGATAAAATGATCAACTGATGGAGAGTGGTTGTGTAGTAATAATTCTTTAGGGGGCCCGTAAGGTTTAAGTAAAAGAGAGAACCCCAAATCTACAGTGAGACCTGCGTGTTGCTTTCCTTTTAAACAGAGACACGTGGTTTTCTTGTAATGCAGACACTGCATGTATTAGATTTGATAGTGAAAATTAGAACTATATTGTTCCTTTTGCATTGAGATGGCTTCAGAAACCACTGTAAGGTGATGGGCAGCCTTTCAGTATATTTAAAGGTGAAGCATGAAGTCTTAAAGCTTCCCCAAACTTAACTTCTACCACAGGTTTGACTGTTATGTCAAAGCCTCTTGCCTTATTTTTCTGGTATTGCAGTGCACACCTGGAGTTAAAATGGTGCTTTAGCTAGTACCTCAAGTGTAACTCTTGACCCAAATACTTGAAGACAAAAGTTTCAAGTAAAGTTTTCATGCATTTAAACAGGTGCAGAATATTTTGGGTTTTTTTTTATTGCTCTGGTATTTTCTGCAACACTCCCACAACTATAAGCTGTAAGTTGTAATTAGCAGTGTTATGGTTGTCAGCAGCAGGTTTAAAATGTAGGCTTCTTTTTGATGCTGAGGTGCTGGCAGTCTGTTGTTTTGTTGCAGTGGAGATTTGCACGTGACATCCGCTAATGTGCGTGTGATTCAGGGCCTTCTCAGTGTATGACAGAAATGCTTTCAAAAGCTGATTGCTTTGTGGTTTCTTTAAAAGCTTGAATTCTTAAGGAGCTGTAGACTTGGTTTCTTTTTGAGCCTTTACTTAAAAGTGCATCTTTAACAGTATCTCATGCTTGTGAATGGAAGTGTACAGGAATATAAGGTGGACATTGGGTGTTCTCTGAAGATGCAGTAACTGGCTTACACAACTCGGACAGGGATAACATCTTTTTCTAGTTTTGGTTTTGGGAATAATTATATTCCTCTGGCAAATGATGCTGGTGTTTCAAGTCCTTTTATATACTTCTGTCTTAACATAAAAATAACAGTCTGTGAAGCCTCTGTGAGGTATGGGAAGAGTCTCTCGAGTTCATTTCTGTGTTCTGGGTAATCAGGAAAAAAATAAAGCCTTTTTACAGTTGGCGTCTATGTAACTGCAGCTAAATTGGATCCCTCAAGCCTGATGATATTTCTCATCTGTTTAATCATCTCAAAGCTGAGCTGCATCTTCTTGCTGCATACCAAATGCACAAGTGCAGCTGATAGCGTTTGGATGGATTGCTGTTCTGGTAACCCTGTGAACTACCTGCCTCTCTCTACAGGTTAGCTGTAGTCAAGAGTATCTGCAATAATTTCCACTGCAGCTGCAGAGAGGTACGCAGTTGATTGTTCAGATCTCTTTTCCTGTTACAATGGAGTAATGAAATGGAGGCTTTAGCTCTTAAGCAGTCTCTTATAAATCTGAAAAAAAAAATCCCCAAAAACCCATCCTGCTTCATTTTCTGAGATATAACTTTGAAATTTCAGACCGTGGGTGGACAAACATGCTGGCCTCAGTCCTTGAAATGATTGCACACTGCTGTATCTGAGGGAGCCGGGCAGGACTCGCTTCCTCAACGGGAGCACTTTGGCACTTTGGTGAATTGTCTCGATGCCAATTGCAGCTCAGGGCCTGAATGCACCCTTGAAATGAAGTGGTTTTGCTTCTGTTGCTGCTTACTTTGAACAGAGGCTGTATTGTGTGTACTGCGCTCGGTGTCAGGGCCCGAAGCAGCCATCTTCCCACCTCCTGAGGTACACGTGTGGCTCCGAGGGCAACGCAAGCACCCCTGCAGAGGGATCCAGCTGCAGCTATGGAAGTAGCAGTGTCTTGCTGATGAAGTTCCTGGAACCTGTTCAGTCACAGGCAAGTCGTGCAGTCTGGGGGCTGTGTGCTCACAGACCTCCTCCAGCTACTGGAGTGGGCCATGTGTGGGATCTGAGGCTCTGCCTGGCGCGGGGGCCCTGCAAGTTTTGGGGAGTTGGGTGTGTGTGTGATTCCATAGGAGGTGGCCCTAGGAGCACCCTCAGCTGTGGAGGTGCTGCTTGCCACGTGCAGTGCTGTCCCCTTTCCCCGGGGATCAGTGGTGGCAGCTTGCAGCGCTTTGCGTGTTCAGGTAGGCATTTGGTAGCTGGAGGCTTCACAGCTGATGGCTGCCATGCTCCCACCACTCCCATCACCACCTTTCTACAAAGATGCAATAAAAAGATGAAGGTCTGGGTGGAATCATCACAGACCCTGCAAGTTGAGGACCCTGCCCACTACCCATGCATCCTCTTCCCCCTGTGGTCTTTGTTTTCCGTCACCAGTACTGTGTTAACGTATTTGCTGTGTGGATCAAATGCATTTGGGTGCTATGGACATATCTGGACTGCAATTTTTCTAAGTTCTTGTGTTGGGATATCTCACATCAGAATATTGCTTCCCCTTGCTGCAGACTCATGGTAGAGATTTGCATCTGGCATATCAGCTTTGGACAAACCTGTAGTATAAACAAACTGCACAGCTCCCTTGTGTCTGAGATAACAAGCTGTGAGAGAGCAAAACCCACGCCCTACTCTGATTTCAGAAGACACATGATATATTAGAGAAGACCTCACCTTTCTGCCCTTACAAAAATCTTGGTACTACAGTAGAGCTCATCAGGAGATAAATGAACATGGTGTCTCTGGAGCCTCAAAACACAAATTCAAGGGGGAGTAGTACCCTGGGTGGCCTGCTGGATACGCTAGCTGATTCTTCTAATAGGTGGTGATGGCATAGGAGTTATCTTTTTTTTTCTTTTCCTTTTTTTATTATCCCTCTAAAGAGACAGTTCCTGAAGTAGGAAGAATTTCACAGAAAACTGTGGCCTAAGGTGCATGTGTATGTGCTCATGCAATCATCAAAGGAACCAAGTGCTGAGTGAATAGTGAGCTCCTCTCTGTCCCCAAAACGCACAAAAGAAATACAGGCTTTGCCTTTCACATCTTGAATAACTCAACTTTAAATCTGACTAAAACAGTGGTGCTGGGGCAGGCTGTTGTGTTTAACTGCATCTTGTAGGTAGGGCGAGAGCCCTGGAGTGAATTGTAAAGGAAATATATAGTCTGCGAGTGAGATGGTTAGAGGTGATGTGTAAGGATCACTTCCCGCTCTCACTTAGCAAGCTCCAGTTGTGGGCTTACTAATGTGAGGGGTTTCAGAGCAGAGTCAGGCTGGGCGACTACCTTCAGGGCAAGCTTTCAGGACCAGATAGATGGGGCAGCAGCTTTGTCAACTGTGGGGTTCCCTGTCTGTTTACCGGCAGAGGTCACTGCTGAAAGCGGGTTTGGGGAAGTGCCAGGCTGTGGACCTTTGGGGTACGAAGTTTTGGGTTGATCCCAGGGGAGCAGCTCAAAGTTAGGTACTGAGGGGGCTGTTGCCTTTGCAGACAGGTCTGGGGAAGGTTTTATCAGCACCCAGATGGAGTGTTGTAGGTAGAGAAAGCCCTGTCTCACCATTAGTGCAAGCTGAACGCTGCCAGGGAGAAATGGTTTGTCCTTGCCGTCATCACAGAGATCCTGAGCAGCACTGCAGCCCTTCATGGACGGTCGCTCTTTGTAAGTCTCCTAGTTTCCACATGCTCCATTTGGGACACCAAGGGTTGAGTTTAACTGATGGAACTGGAAACGTGCTTTACCATATACAATGACGGGAAATGCTAAATAACCTGGAGCAAGGGATGGGAGAAGCAGTCAGTCTTTGCCACAAGTTTAGCACTCAAACTGAAACTTCTGGCTTCTGGGCCTCTGTTGTAAAATGGGGCTTAGTCTAGCCCCACCCTCCCTCACCTCCAATTATGATAACTAAATATTTGTTTCCAAATCAGGAGATTGCTGCAGCGATGGACACCAAAGAAATGCCCTGCAGTAAATTAATAATTCTATATTCTGCACAGGGTTTGGCTGATGTGCAGTAAATATGTTCAATGTGTGGTCCAGACGCTATGCCAATAAAGATAAAACAGAAGAGCGACAAGCTGCTCATT